TGAAACCATAGGACGAATTCAATTTCTTTAATTAATTAATTTAGATTTTTAATTTTATTTAAAATTTTAATTTAATTTAAATTCTTAGTTAATTTGCGATTTAAGCATACAAGTGATATCAATTCTTTTATTTAATAGCTATCTACTAAGCGCCGCGCTTGTGTTGCATGAGGCATGGCCCCTGTCAATCGCTAGCTCGTCAATCGGTCAAGAAGCGCATGCAGAGGCTGCAAAGCGCCTCTGCATGCGCTTTGAGGCACTTGATTCTCGTGTGTTGCCCCTAGTGTGAACGGGCCTTAAGACGCCGGACAGCGTGCGGAGCTCTCTGAAATGTATCATCTATACACATGCAGGACCTTATGCGGATGGAGCAGTTGCAATATGTTGTGTCGTTGCGCTGCCGACGTCGTTATTCAAGGGAAATGTCGTAATCTTCTGGTAGAACTTTTCAACCGCTGCCTCACTGACGGCGTAGTTCCAGAGAACTTCAAATCAGCTTACATTGCGCCTCTATTGAAAAAAAACAGACATTGACGCTTCTGATTACAAATCGTATGAACCCATCTCCAAACAGTCGAATTTGTCCAAGCCCTTGAACGCGTTGTGACCCGATGTGTGAATAACCATTTTCAGCAGTTCGGTCTCATGCGTCGCCTGCAGTCTGCATACCGTCATCTACACTCGACGGAAAAAATTTTGCTGAAGGTGTTTTCAGAAATTCTGCGAGCAGTTCCGCGTCGAAAATGCGGCACTGGCTTTACTCGACCCATCGGCCGCGTTCGACAAGGCCGACTACGCCACTTTACTGCGTCGACTTGACCGTAGAGAACTTTCAGAGGCCATTCGGAGTGCACGGCACAGTGCTGTTGTGGTTCGAATCTCATCTCAACAATAAATTCCAATGCTTTCGAAGCGGGAACTCTTCTTCTACGGCATCGCTGGTTACTTGCGGCGTACCACAATTATCGATCCTAGGCCCGATCATCTTCCTGTTTAATACTGTTGACGCGTTGCAAATAATTGATTCACATGGTTTGAATCCGCATATGTTCGCCGACGACACCCGACGACACCAGCGTTGCAGGATCGGATATCTGTCTGCATGGGTGCGCTCCAACCGGCTCTGGCTCAATTCATCAAAAACTGACTTTAATTGGTTTGCGACTGCTTGGTGCCAGCATCAGCTTCCAGTCAACCCTGTTTGCGTGGGCAACGTGTTCGTCGTGCCTGCGTCTTCGTTTCGTAACCTGGGCATTCTTCCTGGACTCGGAACTTTCCATGAACAATTACATTGCCAAAATCACCACATCTTGTTTTGGTTTGGCGCTCTGCGACGAATACGTATCGTCAGTTATTGTCTCTCGAAGCCCTCGGCACTTAATAAACTGCAGTCCGTAAATAAACAATGCTGCGCAACCTGCGTACAATAAGTGAAAATTCGACCACGTGATGCTCGATGGTGTGCGATTTTCACTGGCTGTGCAGACAACAGCGCACGCAGTTCATGGTCGCTGTTCTGACGTTTCGATGCCTTCGCAGTCTGCCGTCTCTTTATCTCAAAGAATGTCTGCAGCGCGTGTCGGCTCTGCCCTCTAAAAGACGACTACGTTCGTCATTAACAACGGACCTCGTCGTACCATCTACACGTCTATCTACCGTCGGCGACAGAGCGTTCCTGGTCGCCGCCGCCAGGTCCTGGAACAGTCTGTCGGCTTCCGTAACATCGACTCCTTCGTTGCAGGTGTTTCGTCGACGCCCAAAGACGGAACTATTTCGTAGAGCCTATGAATCAAGTGCCTAGTCATTTTTATATGTTTTCATATTTTCTCGTGTCTATTTATTTTTTGTTTGCTATTAAACTTGCGTAACGTACCCTCAAAGTTTGTTTGAACCTGACGCCATGATAACGGCTTCTTAGAATAATAATAACATGTACATTTTTTGCTTATTTCATCAATCTTGTAATAATTCCAGACCAAGATCTATGCCGGTATGCCAATCGCTTACTTTGAGAAAAACATTACCTTCTGCCCAAACACTCATTCCCCACCAGTTCCTCACAAAATAATCATTCTTCGCCTGTTCCTCAGCAAACATTCATTCCTCACCAAACACTCATTCCTCACCAAACACTCATTCCTCACCAAACACTCATTCCTCACCAGACACTCATTCCTCGCATGTTCATCATGAAACATTCAGTCCTCACCTTTACTTCACAAAATGCTCATTCTTCACCTGTGCCTCACCGAACACTCATTCGTCATTCCTCACCAAACACTCATTCCTCACCTGTACCTCACTAAACACTCATTCCTCACCTGTAACTCACCAAACACTCATTCCTCACCTGTACCTCACCAAACACTCATTCCTCACCTAACTCTCATTTCTTCCAATTAATTTCTGCACTTTTTCTTCTTCGAATGGAGGCTGGACTCGTAGCCTTCACGGCGTTCAAACTTCTTAACAGCAAAAAAGTATTCTCTCGCAATGTGGAGAACACTGACGTATGAAATATCTAGCATTTCTCATTGGTTTAATGGCGTTTTTATCTATAGTCAGAATAACTTGTAACGAGATGAAACTTAAAACTTCGACGCACATGAGATTGTCAGTAAATTGTCAAAAACTCGCATATGTAAACTTAGCCGAAACGTTGAATTCGTGAATTTTTTTTTTTTTTTAGAATTCCACATACAGAACAATATGGCTGTTTCTGCCGGGCATAAAGCTAGGAGGATGAATAAAATGCAAGTTTAAAGTGAATCACATTAATAAAAATTCTTAAAGAAATATATCATGAATAAGAGAATAACCATTGTCTCACTGCGCATAGCTCACCGTGTCTTTATGAAGATTAAAAACTTCCTAACTTGAAGAAATAACAATGGATATAATTATATATTAAACCAAAAACATAAACAATCTATGAATCAGTATTCAAAGGAAGCATTTCGACACTGAAAATATAAATCAATGAATTTTTTGGTCATTAATCACACCGTTTAAATGAAGAATACGAGAGATCTAATCTTTCTTATCGCCATAAATCTTATAAAGGAAAAGTAGAAACGTAGAAACTAGGGTAACCGCTTTTCTTTTGGCTCTATCAGTAAAATAACTTGGTTTAAAAGAAAATATAAAGGAAAAATAGAAACTAGGGTAACCGCTTTTCTTTTGGCTCTATAAGTAAAATAATATTGTTTAAGAGAAAAATAATGCACAAAGAACTGAAGTTGGATAAACTATATTAAGGCAAATGACATTAAACATCGTAAGTCAAGAACACATAATCGGTGGCCCGCGAGATGTGCATAATAATAACACTATAAGAACTAGCGCGACCAAAAAAGGTTGATTTGTTAAAATTAGGAATTCAACAAGATCCTTAGGGTGACGTGTGAACATATATGTGTTAGAATACATAGATGCCAAGGTTTATATAGTATGAGGGAATAGTTTGGATAATAAGAATGAATGAGGTAAGGGTAAACAATTCGACGCGAAATAAGTTGGTTAAATACTGAACAGTAAATAAAATGACAGGAAATAAAAATTACTGAAAAGGCTCAAACATATTCTTTGGTGCAGAAGATACGACAATTTTGGCAGCAATTGTATAGAAAAACTGATAAAAATAATACAGATCCCAAAATCGGTTAGGTATATTAATTGTTGAGCTTTCCAATTGCACAAAACTAGTTCAGATATTTTTTTTCTGTTACCTGCGGAAGGAAAAATGCGTATATTTTTAGCAAACTTTCATATATAAATATATAAATGATTGGTCACCATCGTTAGTAGGAATAAACCTTTCACAGCGAGTTAGTTAGTTAGTTTAGTGGCCAAATCTTTACTAGCGCTTCAGCTATTTAGCTATCTCGCACCGAAAGTCAAGATGAACATCACCATAGAGGTGGAAGGTCTCAATTATTCATCACCCACAAGGGGCAGAAGGTCTCAATTGTCCAGCCCGCTGAAGCTGGCTCGAAAGAAGCAGCGTTAGCATCTCAAAGAGACGAAGTGACAAGGAGGGACAGGTGAAAAGCAACAGAAACGAAGACACTCGAACAAGAGGTCGCTTACACGGGACGTCGGCCGCCCGCACGAGAGAGACAGAGAAGGGAAATGTAAGGAATCCTGCCTTTATTATAACTTAATGTAAGGAATCCTACCTACATAATAACTTAATGTAAGGAATCCTACCTACATAATAACTTAATGTAAGGAATCCTACCTACATAATAACTTAATGTAAGGAACCCTACCTACATAATAACTTAACCCCACAACTGAGACCTGCAGTCAGACACCGCGCGCTCAGCGGTGGGGCGCTCAGGAACAATCCCCCTAGGAACGAAAAATCCCATAGGACTTTTGACGCGCACAGACACACGTCAGAATTTCCCCCTGAGGGGCCTTTCACAGCAACATAACACCGATTCGTACTCGGAAAATAACGATTGCACATTCGTTTACCCAGGTTGTTGCGTGATGCAGAAAAAATAGTTATGGCGAGTCAGCGAGACAGTGATTGTCGTGCAACTTCCAATGGCATTAGTACCCGTAAAAACTGACCTATCACCCACCTCCTTCACCTGATTTATCACCCCGTCCATTAACTGACCAATCACCTCCCTCCCTAGTTGCCACCACCAGGATGGGCAATTACAACAAAAACAACATTGCAGATTCTACAAGCGTAAACTCGCTACGAAGATCCTGCCTAAGTTATATGCAGTAGAATGAAAAGTTGAATAGGCGACCAAAACTTTTATGGAGATTCAAGACATATTTAGTAAGAAAATAATCGTACGCATTCACGTAGGCGGCCACGAGAGGCCGAAGATCTCAAAGGCAACAGCGGTAAAACTGGGCTTGATAATAACAGCATCTCGGGGTGACGGACTAGGGTTAAGTGGAAGCAACAAAAACAAGCGAGTGAACAGCAACAGAAACGAAGAATGGACTAGGAAACAGCAACAAAAACGCAGACACTCATACAAGATATTTTTATTTGGCACGTCGGATAGCAACACAATAGACAGTGGATTGAAGTTAACCCAGATAACTATCTAATTAACAATCTACTAACTCAAATAAATTTCAAGTCTCATGGTATGGTGAGGCATTCCGACCTATACTGACCAGACTCGCGCGCTTGACAAATTCAATTTAGAAACACCTGCCGTGTAAGTACAGAATTAATCTTGTAATTTGATTGAACTTTCTAGTTTTCATCTTAAATTCTACAAATACTTTCAAGGAAAGTGCAATAATACATCCAAGACATAGCAATTTTTTCGCCCGCTTGTAGAAATAAAGCCGAGGACACAAATTTCACTGTTTCACCTCACACGTTCATAACATGTTAAGCAATACAGGATTTACGCCAGCATATCATTATAAATATAGATACAAATAATATACAGCTTTTAGCAGAATCACTAAACATAATGGAACATTAATATTTTCAAGTAAACATTAAATAAAATCAACAACGGAAAATTAACATTCAAGATAAATAAATCGAGAAAATATTAAATAAGGAAGATTTACAATTTTAGTTTTACGTCATAACACATTGACGTTTTCCAATTAAAATCGTTTCATGATACCTAACTTATTTTATTTAAAGTTTGCAGCAAAATGCCTAACAAACATTTATTTCACTTGATACATGTACTTCTAGTAAAACAGATCATTGAAAAGGGCGTTCAACTTACAACTCAATTTTAAAATTAAAAATAATTCTTTCTTAGAATGACATAATAAATTCATCGATCACAATATCTTAGAGACAGGTTTGATCGCAACCACTAGCAGAGGTACGGCGACGGTGATTTTTGGCGTCGGGATGATTTATGAAGTGACTGTCGAGGTGATTTTAGGACTGAACGTCAAGGTGATTATTCTAGGATTAGAGTGTAAAGGTGATTTTTGGCGAGTACTGACAGAGACAGTCTCCCATTATTCATAATGAAAAAATGGAGAAATGTGAGAAGCGGTAGCACATTAAACATGGAGTGGACGATCCAAACCACAATATATAAATAACCTTTACACACGCGATGTGGTGGAAGAGTAAAACTTATTAAAAGGTAAAAAGAAATGCAAAGACAGGGTAAAGGTGGCAGCGCGCCATCGTGGCTTGGGTGCAACATCCGAAACATCTACCAAATATACTAAGAAAATTTATTTCAGATTCCAAGAATTTGACGCTTGGTATCAATGACAATCAGAAGTGGAGATTTATATTTTTCACAAAGAAATGCTGTTCCGTACACCTCTGGCGAACAGTTTGCGCTTTACTGCTGTGCAGACCATCTTGGAACATATTTTGCTGGTCCTGCACGACATTTATTAAAAAAATTCCTGCTCAGTGACGCTTTAGAGCATCTTGTGCTCTGTAATGTTATCGTGTAATGATTTAGTGACTTCTAGTAAACAACTCAGCTCTATAACACTTCTTTTTGGTGGCGGTACAACGCTCCATACACATCCTAATCCTCTAGAACATCTTTTCCTTGGTGGCAGTATAACGCTCCATATACACATCATGATGCTCTAGAGCATCTTCTTCTTGGTGGCAGTATAACGCTCCATATACACATCATGATCCTCTAGAACATCTTCTTGGTGGCAGTATAACGCTCCATATACACATCATGATCCTCTAGAACATCTTCTTCTTGGTGGCAGTATAACGCTCCATATACACCTCATGATCCTCTAGAACATCTTCTTGGTGGCAGTATAACGCTCCATATACACATCATGATCCTCTAGAACATCTTCTTCTTGGTGGCGGTATAACGCTCCATATACACATCATGATCCTCTAGAACATCTTCTTCTTGGTGGCGGTATAACGCTCCATATATTTGTCATATCCCTCGGTCTCCTCGAGCTGCTTCGAGCTGAACAAATTACCAGTGAGGCACAGCAACGACACTTGCGAGTCGGTGAGCAGCCCTAGAGGCAGGGCGCTCAACTGCAGGCAGTTCTCTTCCAAACGCAGCGTCTTCAACCGAGGGCACTCCCCCATCTTGTCTGAGATGCTGGAAATCTGAGGAAAAATTTTTTTGTTAGGTACTTTTACTTCAGTGTCCTATTAGTTCTATTAAAGCAATAGGCCTTTATTTTATTATGTAAGATAAATGCACTTGATGTCAGATTTAAAAAGAGGATGTGGACCAGATTGCCTCAATGAAGGATGTGGTAACGGCTGGTCTTAAATATTGTTTCGCAATGTTTATAAATATATGTTTCACTGCGAGTGATATAACAGCTTTGACCCATTCCAAGAGAATATATGTCAATATACGTCGCTTGATAATTAAATGGTGACATGAATACAATATTTGAAAAGAAAAGCAGCAGAGGGAGAGCCAGATATTATGTCACGGAAGGTTAACAAATTCTGTTCACCATGGATACCACATGGTTCTGGACAACATGTATACCATGACATGTGAGTAGGTCACCATGGATACCATGACGTGAAGGTAGGTCACCATTGCTACCGTACCATGACGTGATGGTAGGTCACCATTGCTACCGTACCATGACGTGATGGTAGGTCACCATTGCTACTGTACCATGACGTGAGGGTAGGTCACCATAGCTACCGTACCATGACGTAAGGGTAGGTCACCATGGTTACCATGACGTGAGGGTAGGTCACCATAGCTACCGTACCATGACGTGAGAGTAGGTCACCATAGCTACCGTACCATGACGTGAGGGTAGGTCACCATGGTTACCATGACGTGAGGGTAGGTCACCATAGCTACCGAACCATGACGTGAGGATAGGTCACCATGGTTACCATGATGTGAGGGTAGGTCACCATAGCTACCGTACCATGACGTGAGGGTAGGTCACCATGGTTACCATGACGTGAGGGTAGGTCACCATAGCTACCGAACCATGACGTGAGGATAGGTCACCATGGTTACCATGATGTGAGGGTAGGTCACCATAGCTACCGTACCATGACGTGAAGGTAGGTCACCATAGCTACCGTACCATGACGTGAGAGTAGGTCACCATAGCTACCGTACCATGACGCGAGGGTAGGTCACCACTGCTACCGTACCATGACGTGAGGGTAGGTCACCATTGCTACCGTACCATGACGTGATGGTAGATCACCATAGCTACCGTACCATGATGTGAGGGTAGGTCACCATGGATACCATGACGTGAGAGTAGGTCACCTGGTTCTGGTTGAGGTTGAGCTCTAGCGCATTAAGGGTAGCCACAGCGTCAGGGACGGCGGTGATGCGGTTGCAGGAGAGGTCTAAGAGGTCCAGGTGAGGCAGTCCACACACTTCCACTGGTAGCTGCTCCAGCCCATTCCCACTGTGTGGTCATTTTATTTTACACAATTGTCAGTCTTATAGTAATGCTAAGCCCCATAGAACACCTATAGAAACTCTGAATAGTTTTATTCCCGCTGTGTGAACATTTTCTTTTACACAATTGTCAGTCTTATAGTAATGCTAAGCCCCATATAACACCTTTAGAAACTCTAAATAGTGTTATTCTCACTGTGTGGTCATTTTCTTTTACACAATTGTCAGTATTATAGTAATGCTAAGCCCCAGAAAACACCATTAAAAAATTTTTAATTTTCATACAAATTTGGAATTCAACAGTCACTCTCCAAAATATTTGCACACAGTTGCTCAGTATTGCATGGCTGTTACCTGTTAAGCAAAAATCTACTCTTGAATTTTACACCTAGCCCTCAAAACTATGGATACAAACAATTTTGTATGACTGTACTGAAATGAGTGCAAATTTCTCAACCAAAATTCAGAGTATTTGACATAAAAATTTTGAATACCTGAAATTAAAATATTAATTTAAATAGAAATATGTTTAATTGTACAAATAGTACAGTATTATACAACCAGCCTTAGCACAAGAGTTTTGAGATGGTTGAGCTGAGCTATGCTGGGTGGTAGCGCTGTAAGGCAGTTATGCTGAACAGACAAAGTCTCAAGCTTGCCCAGGCGACCGATGTCTGCAGGAAGGCTGCCTGCAAACATGCAGAGAATAAACTTAAAATGGGATTCTGCATTTCTGCAATACGAAATTATTATTCATTTTATAAGTAGATAGATAGAGGTAGGGCAGCACTTGTGTGGTTTTTTAATACATCAAAGTATATTAGGGTTATTCTGCAGTAAAAATTATTAATTATAATTAATATAGTAGGAATTGAGAATTGTTTTTAACTTATCATTACTTTAAGAACATATTTATTTAATTAAACATAACACTGTAGCTTTTATTCACTGGTATTGTTGTTAGTAGTTCAATGATAATAAATGAATATTGCAGGTAATATTGCAGCATATCACATTGCTAGTACAAGAGGAGTAGTAATTAGTAGTCCATTGAACAGAATGGTAGACCGAACTGGAACTTTTTCACTCAGAAGAAACATTCAAGCTTAAAGAACACTCAACAACAGATTCAAAGCTACAATTGTCTTTCTCAATATGGAAGACAATGTACTGAATTTATTGATTACTGTTATCTTTATAATCAATTTCTGGATATTCGTGTTTACACAAATATCCTTTCTGAATTTATTGATTACTGTATCACCACATGCGCATTATCATCAGAATTTCTAGGAAATATCACTCATAATAAAAACAGTTCAATTAAATTTATTCTAATTAACATAAACTTTGTCTTTTATTAAGTGACCAGAATTTCCTAATTACCTACATAAACTTTGTCACTTATTAAGTGACCAGAAATTTTCATCATCCAGAATTAAGAATAACTTACTAATTTTGTTATTATTCAACTGGAAATTTTTGAGTGTTGAGATGTTGGTGATGGTGGGAGGAAGAGCTGTTAACTTGTTATTGGAGAGATCTAGTGTGCGGAGAGACCCAGCAACAGCACCAAGGTCAGGAACCTTGTGGAAAAAAGAGAACAATTGTATTTGATGATTTTGTTACATGGTACACTTCTTGATATATAAAGCCTATATTAAACTAGTGATGATAATTATTATACCATCGAGCCATCACTCCATTGGCAACATATAGAACATATCTACAGTAAGATGACATTTATAGAAATATTGAGTCTTTGATTCAAAATTATATTTTTTTATTAGAACATAATGGTATATAAAAAAAATAGTACCTGCACAACTTGTGAATTTTTTAGAATGACTGAACTTAAATTTCACTTTGATCTGGTCTGGGTAATTTGTATGGTACCTATAATTTTGCAACTATTTATTTACAAAAAAATATATTGTATGAACTTATTTGCAATAGTAAATATACTTCTTGCTAGGAGGCTTAGCATGAATGATCATGTCTATTTTATATTTAGTGCTATAGCTTCTTGACAGAATTACCCTAATAGTAGTAAGTTTAGCCTTTCAAATAACTTAGAAATTTATTTTTACTGAATACCATTTGTATAAAACATTTTTCTTTTACTGATGAAAACTCTCACAATATCTAGTAGGCAATAATCAGCTATGAAAGGCAGTAATTAAAATTTCTTTAACTAATTGTTGTCATGACAATATTTGGTTCATCAATTTATGGAATGAAACCCCATTTAATGAACATCAAACTTTGAGATGATGTAAGAGGGAAAGAACCAAACGATTGTAAGCTATAGAAAAAAATTGAAGTAATGAAAGAAAAAATAAATACAGACATAAGAATTTGACCAATCTCTCCTACCACATTATCTCCAAATATCTTTACATATTTACTATACATACTTCTGTAAGTTTGCGGTCTGTTAGCACCAAAGCTCCAGTCTTGGAAGCTGTTTCAAGATGTTGCTTGACTTTTCCATTTGAAGAAGCAGACTGTCCCATTTTTTATGAATTGGAGGTGTAGTGTGATTTATAAATTCTATATCAGAAGCAGAATCGAGACAACCAAGGTGAAGTCCTCAAATGTAAGTAGGTATTATCTGGAAGAAAGGATATGCATAAAACAATTTGGCAATGATAGCTATTGGTTGGAGCCCTGAAGTCAATATCCATTGCAGCATGTGAGACTGTGAGAGAATATTTTCAATGACATTCTAAAATATGTTAAACAAATCAACAATAAAACCAACCCAATTGACATTTTTATGTACCAATAACTTTTTATTTCAGCTTCAAAGTTAAGAAAAAAAATAGCTAGCTGCATTTAATATATGATTCGATAAAGTAGGAAGTAGCAATGGAAAATTTTTGCAAGCCTATGTATTTACATCAAAAAGTGATAAAAAATCTTTCATTGGGTTTGAACAATTAAGCATGAGCACTTTTCTGCTGGTTTTTTATCCAATTCAAATTTCAGGGTTAAATTCTAGTCTGGAAAAGTCCTATTTTTGTCTGAAATATCGCGGCTCTAATATCATATAATTTCAGTAGGTATGAAATCTCGCGGCTCGAATGTCATAAATTTTTGTTCGATTAAAAAATCGCGGTTTGCACTTCGCAAACATGTCATTTCATAAAATTTTCAACTTCCGCAATTGCCAAGTAGATATATTCCATACTAGAACCAGAGTAGCACTGACATAAGTGCTAACGTTATTAACGTTGACATTTTTACAATGCGAGTCCTAGGTACGCATATTTTTTACATCCGATTGTGACTAAGCAGGCACAAAAAATTATAAAAATCGCGGTTTGCACTTCGCAAACATGTCATTTCATAAAATTTTCAACTTCCGCAATCCGCATTGCTTTACCGTTTCCGCCAAAAATATCTTGCAGAAAAAACATAAACATCGTAATGTAAACAAATAAACAAAACGTTTGTTGAAGATCGCGCATAGTTGCGGTCATGTCAAAGCGGTCAGACTGTATATTAACACGTGCTGAACTTACAGTAGAGACAAATTTTATTGTTGCCGTTTGACTGTTTAAGGGTAAAATGTCAAAGCGGTCAGACTGTATATTAACACGTGCTGAACTTACAGTAGAGACAAATTTTATTGTTGCCGTTTGACTGTTTAACAAAAGGGTAAAATTAGAGATTTGGGGTAACACGTGCATAAACTTTGTAAATAAATTTGCATTCGCATCTCATAAATGGCTTTTCATGGCCGAGATATGGAATTCACGGCTTGGTGAAATAGAATCACGGCTCATAGAAATGGAATCACGGCTGGCAAATCCATAAAACCACGGCTCGAAAAATTCAGTCACGGCTCGCCAAGAAGATATATTCCATACTAGGTTAAATTTTCCCCAATTTTACACTCATGGCTGGAGTGGTAACCAATGAGCAATGAATGACCAAATTCTGCATATTCTCTATGGGCAATGCCATCATGCCATGTAATGTGGTAATGGGTTAGAAAGTCCTAAATCCTGTTTAAGGCTGTTAACTGTTTTGATATGATAAATAACATACTATAATCAATCCTCAAGATTATAGATGATTATGCTTAAAGTTATGAAAAAAAGTTAGTAAAGAATCTCAATTATGTTCTTAAAAAAAAATTCTCCAAGGGCAAGGACCTTAGCCCTAGAACTAATCTAAAGAGTCGAGGGTGAATAACCTCCAGCAGGAACAGAGTGCAGACCAGCTCCAGGCTTCAGACTTAGGCTTCCTGTTCTGGTTTTTCATGCTTTTTATACTTACTTGGTTATTTTTTCATGATATGGTGCATTTAACAACGAAGACATTTGCGCTCACCAATTCACCGTGCTACTAAGTCAGGAAGTGACAGTTAAGGACTTACGGAGAGTTACCAAGTCAACATCAGGTTCAAAGTTTGAGTTTCTAATCAGCTGATTGCTAAAATGTTGTTACTTATGCATGTGGTTGCGGAACAATTGAAAAAATCTAATAACTGAAAATTCTTCAAAGTACGTTTTTTTTAATCATCTGTTGTAAATTAGACAAACGTGTAATGAAGAAATCTCAAAATTTAAATCATCCCTGTTAAATTATTGATAACGGTCAAATCTAAAACTTTAGATTTCAAGTCGATAATTATATTACGACGATCTTATTCATCTCTCGTAGTTAAAGGTAAACATATGATTCATATTATTTTGTAGCTAAATAATTTTTACTTATTTCTGCACACATTAAGCCATGGTCATAAGCATTTCTATTCACTTCTACAGTTTGATCTCAATTAACGTTACAACCACTAGTCAGATGAAGTAGAATCCCTAGTGGTTTCATAAAATAATAAGCCTGAATATCGAACTTACTCAGGTAAAGTTTCACTGTTGCCTGAAACCCATACTCACTGCACCGAGCAAATAATTCGGGGTTGCGGATGACGCTCGGACTCAGTGTGCATCAAGAATTTGTGTGCCAGGGTTGTGTATCATGTTGGTAAGTTTAGATTTCATCTCCAATACTGTCCTTTTATTATATGTTTTGAGATATGTAGCCCAGAATTATTAAAATTTATTGAATTTCAGCTGAGAAACTTGAAGTGTTAAATAATATTTATGATTATTAGCATATATCAAAAGAACTGTTTGCGAAGCTGTGCTCGGCTACAGACCTTCAGTGTTTCACCACAGGGACAGTGATGACTCAACCGTTCTAGTTCATTTACGAACAACAGGTGGTGAATTTTATCATCTCATTCAATTTATGATTCGTTGATATTTCCATCTGAATTGATTATTTCTGAACTGCTACGTAGCGTCAATAGCATATGAGTCGTCAACCTTGAATACAAACGACAAATAAAATAACACGAATTGCTTAACTGCTTTCGTAATAGTAGGCTCGTTTGATATTTTTCTTCATTTCGGTTTTGTCCCCATTTTTTTCTGTATTGCACAGAACAAAATGTATTCCTTTACAGCATTTCATGGTATCATTGGCATGTATTACTATGACATCATGCGAGTCCATAATTATATGTTATTTTCTAAAATCTGAAATCGGTTGTACTGTTGTACAAATGTACAGTCATCACAATTCAATACGAAATGTGAACTTTTACCCCTACATTTCGCCATTTCCTTCAATTTAAGTAAAAAAAACCATCTTGAATAAAATATAATATACTGCCAAATTTCGTTCTATAAATTTTGAAAATATTTAAATGTTTTCCTTCAAACACATCGATGTTGTTATGTCACTACCTCAGTTATATTGCAGTTAAAATGTCTAGTTTCTAGTTATTTCATAGACAGTTTTTTTTTGTGACATCCATAATGTGCATTCGGTCATTGAGCTTGCATTGATACTAAGTTATAAATAAATTAATCTAGAGGCAGCTGCCGCTGGTTTTTGGCACATGCACTTGTTGGCTCTTGCCGATCCCCGTTTTTCGTAAGTTGGCGAGGCATTCTTTTCTTGCCTTAGTAAGTCCTCGCAACGGTTCGTTAACGACCCTTAAACGATTTGTTCAGACTCGAACTTGCAATGGAGAACAGATTTTACTGGCAGCGGATAGTTAACGGCCCGGTAACGATATATTTCGACTCGAACTTGCATTGGAGAACATATTTTATTGGCAGAGGATAGTTAACGGCCCGGTCACGATATATTTCGACTCGAACTTGCATTGTAGAACATATTATATTGGCAACGGACAGTTAACGGCCCGGTAACGATATATTTCGACTCGAACTTGGAGAGGACTGATATTACTATTCATCATATTTAAACCTACGCTATCTGTGGTCTCCAGTCCGACGAGAAACCATTAACCCACCAACCAATCACCGACGAGAAATTGGCCACTGCGTGTACTTAGGACGGTACACGAACTTAGGCTGCTACGTGTACTCCGGTCGCTACTTGTACTTAACCGAGTTCTGATAGCACGGCCTCAATTATCCGAAAGGAACAATCTATTACCAAAAACAGAATAGAATCAGTAATTTATAGGAACATTTATGAAGTTTAGTCTTCATTTGTAGTATTTAAACTCAATAAAATATGAATTTGCTGCTAGGATAATAAAGTTTTATTAAATAGCTGCGGGATACGGGACTACGGCATGCCGCAGACAACATGCGCTCGTATTCGGGCCAAAGGCCAAATGAATACGGTATAACAAAGGTCAAATGAATACGGTATAACAAAGGTCAAATGAACACGGTATAACAAAGGTCAAATGAATACGGTATAACAAAGGTCAAATGAACACGGTATAACAATGGTCAAATGAACACGGTATAACAATGGTCAAATGCATACGGTATAACAAAGGTCAAATGAATACGGTATAACAAATGTCAAATGAATACGGTATAACAATGGTCAAATGAATACGGTATAACAAAGGTCAAATAAACACGGTATAACAATGGTCAAATGCATACGGTATAACAAAGGTCAAATGAATACGGTATAACAAAGGTCAAATGAATACGGTATAACAAAGGTCAGATGAATACGGTATAACAAAGGTCAAATGAACACGATATAACAAAGGTCAAATGCATACGGTATAACAAAGGTCAAATGAATGCGGTATAACAAAGGTCAAATGAATACGGTATAACAAAGGTCAAACGAATACGGTATAACAAAGGTCAAATGAATACGGTATAACAATGGCCAAATGCATACGGTATAAAAAAGGTCAAATGCATACGGTATAACAATGGCCAAATGCATACGGTATAACAAAGGTCAAATGCATACGGTATAACAAAGGTCAAATGCATACGGTATAACAAAGGTCAAATGCATACGGTATAACAAAGGTCAAATGAATACGGTATATCAAAGGTCAAATGCATACGGTATATCAAAGGTCAAATGAATGCGGTATAACAGAGGTCAAATGAATACGGTATAACTTAAATAACACGTAAGATAAAGTATCAAGTGAAGCATCTTCATTTAGATTATATAGCAACCCTTCGTTGCATACTTGCTTCTTAAATAATTGTTAGAGCTAGAAAATTGAAAGGTATTATAGTCGCTTCGCTTTAATGTATGGGTATGTAATGCAATACATGATATTATGTAATATGTACTCATATTATGATAATTATGATTAAAATAATTATTTATTCTCATATCTCTTAATGTAAAATTTAGTTAATTCAGGTAAAATCTGCGCTATAATCACGTAAATTTATTATTCAATAGCAAAAAAGTTATAAATAAACAATACAATTGAAGAAAATGTTTAATTTCTTGAAATTTTCTCTGGGAAAAAATTCATCCGCGTGTCTTATTCATCCGCGCGTCTTATTCATTCACGCGTCTTATTCATCCACGCGTCTTATTCATCCACGCGTCTTATTCATCCACGCGTCTTATTCATCCACGCGTCTTATTCATCTACGTGTCTTATTCATCCGCGCGTCTTATTCATCCACGCGTCTTATTCATCCACGCGTCTTATTCATCCACGCGTCT